AGTCCCACCCCCACTGGCAGTTAAAAGGAGGAAGCAGCTGCAATCTCACATTACTCTGAGAAGCACAGAGCCGGAGACAGAAGCCTGAAGATGATGAATGAGACTTCATCGAAACGTTGCCTAGATACTTCGAATCTTACGCGGGAGAAAACCCGAACAACCAAAGATCCACATACAAATACCCGCGAGAACCTCAGAAAACAAATATATATATATATATATATATATGAACGAATGAATGACAGGGTTTTATTTTCAGGGAAACACAGGTAAGTCTAGGTGCTATTGCTATATCATGTTAGCCCCTTTGGAAAGATCCTCCTGAGACTCTGTACCACAAATCCATTGCTTTATTTCTTCTTATTTATCCCCCCCCCTCTTTTTTAAAATTTAGCTTCACTTGTTTCTTCAAGGCCTCTCATTCAATAATTCACTTGGGGAAACTGTATCCATTGACCCTCAGGGAGAAGTGTTTTCTGGATTTGATATTACAAATTTTGTCATTTTTCCAAATCACTCCTACCATAAAGTCAAAATTGGAAAAATGGATCCCAAAAGTCTTGAAGAAAATGAATTTGTGATTCATGAACATTTAATTGTGTGGCCCAAATATTTCAAGCAGGTAAAGATTTTAAGTCATTTTATTATTTTGGGTGAAAGTTTTGGATATTTAAAAAATGAGTTTATGCAATCTGCTCTCAGATCTTTTAATCAGTTAAAACAAACTACTCTGTATTCAAAGTATGTCTGTTTTTCATGTTATGGGGAAATGATACTGGCAAATAATTTACAGGATTTATTTGTGGAGGGAGGGGGGAGTATTTTACTATTTTTACTCCTAACACTAGTAAAGAATGAAATAAAATTCAGGAATAATTAAATGATATTAAAAATAATTGAAAATAAAATAAAAAGTGTTCCCATCCATTTTTGAAGGTCATAAGTCATTTGAGACAAATTTTGTGTAGCCTGATTTGATTGTGCTTGACAGAGCAAAGCCTCTGACAGCTGTATGAATAATAGTGTAAAAAGTGAGTAAATAACTCCTGAAGTTGGGAAAAAGAGCACTCCATCATAGAAAGAGTAGAAGGAAAACACTAAACTTCAAATTGTTCTCAGAGTCACATTTTAGATGGTAATTTTTGTTGTTTCTTTTCTGCTTATACTAATCTAAGTATAAAATCTCACAGCATGGTTTTTTTTAAATCTATTTCTCCTTTTTCTTCATTTAATCCAGAAAGGGGATGGGCAAGAACAGACTGGATTTAGTTATATGCAATAATTGGGAAGTGTTGAAGAGATTATCAGGTGTGGCACTTCATTTCCTAGAATCATAGAGCTGGTGGGGATCTCTGGGCTCCTCTAGTCCAACACTCTTCTTAATATTGGAGACCTTGTACCATTCCAGTCAAATGGTTGTCCAATCTTTTCTTGAAAACCTCTAGCAGTGGATCACCCACAACCCTTGGAGACAAGCTATTCCACTGATTGTCCTCACTGTTACAAAATTTCTCTTAATTTCCAGATTGGATCTCTCTTTAACAAGTTTCTACCTATTAGTTCCTTTCCTGCTCTCTGGTGCTTGGGGAAATAAGTCAATCCCCACTTCTCTCTGACAGCTCCTTAAGTACTGGAAGACAGTTATCATGTCCTTCTCTTCAGTAGACTAGAATAACCTAGCTCTTGAAATTTATTTGAATATAGGTAGCTCGGGTTGGTAGTTGGGCTGTTGGTCTGAGCTCCGAGCTTGGCAATTTGCTTGCAAATGTTTAATCACCATTCGAGGAGACATCATCAATGTGCTTTGAATTGTACTTGTCTTTCAGAGCACTGGTCTTTAAATATCTTTTTTACATGATCCAAATTAGTGTGGATGTTATTTGCCTACTTCTGAGTCATGGTCTGACTTCAGACTGTTTGATTGGTTGGCTGTTGTTATTGAGGCATGGTCTTTGGTTTTAAGTACCATCTGTGTGGTGTAAATTAGTTGTCAGGGTTCCAACAAATGCTCTAATCAAATCATGAGCCTCGAGCCAAACTTCAAAAGTAATCCAATTATTTATTAGGAGCAATATGTTGGCACTGATCCTAATGAAGCCAGCTCTGACTCGTATAATTTATGGTGCAGCTATGGCCCAGTTTCCCCCTCCCCACTGGATGTGTCATAAATCACATTCTCTAACCAAAGCACCATCATGGCTGGTGTGTCATAAATCACATTCTCCAACTGAGGACTTTTGTGGGTTCTAGAGGTCACACACCTTCAACTGGGTTGGTAACCTGGGATACAACTTTGTTCTATCTCCCTTTATCTCCCTTTTGATAGGTTGGGCAATTTCTTCCTTTTGAATAAAAAGGAAGATGCAAACAAGGAATAAAGTAGTTCTGCTTTTTCCCTGCCACCTATTACCTTCTTGCCATAAGAAACTTCCTTCTTGTTCCTTATATATATTGGAAGAAACATATTTATCACTTCTGTCATTACTTGTCAATCTTAGCTCATTCTGGACCTGACCTTTCCTGTCTCTTTTTCTTACAGATTTGGGCTGATTTTCTCTTTGAGTTATGTACTCCTTTTCTTTGGCAATCATGGATGCCTCATCTGGGATTGCTTTACTTTTTCTGTGGTACTGCTTTTGCTTGGTCCTTCATTATTTCATCTCTCAGGATTTCCAATGCATCTTGAACATTTTTTTATTTTTAGGATTTCCATCCATGGAATCCTTCTTAGTCTCACTCTTAGCTTGAAATGTCTAAAATAGTAGTATGACTTGGTTCAGTGATCTGTGATTGTGTTATAGTGAATTAAGTATGATAAGGTCTCTCTCCTTCAAAAGTTCTGTCAACTTCTAGTCCCTCAACCATTTCACCCTTAGTAGTAAGAATTATGTCCAATGTAGCTGTCACTCTATTTCCCTTCCCTACCTTCCCAAAGGGAAGGGACATGGTGGCTCAGTGGCTAAGATGCTGAGCTTGTTTCTCAGAAAGCTCGGCAGTTCAAATTCCTAGCACCACATAATAGAGTGAGCTCCCATTATTTGTGTCAGCTTCTGCCAACCCAGAAGTTCAAAAGTACATAAAGAATGCAAATAGAAAAATAGGGACCATTTGGTGGGAAGATAATAGTGTTCTGTGCACTTTTGGCATTTAGTCATGCCAGCCACATGACCATGGAGATGTCTTCAGACAATGCAGGCTCTTTGGCTTTGTAACAGAGCCAGGAACGACTGGCACGTAAGTGAAAGGGGAACCTTTACCTTACCTTTCCATAGGATAAACCTATTAGCTAGGTAGGCCAGGAACCCGTTTGATCTCACACTCACTGCACAGTTTGTTTCTCAGGTAATGTCAAGATATTTAAAATCTCCCATTACTACAGTGGTATGTTTCCTGCACACCTCAGCTAATTGATTGAGTTTATAATCCTTTGATCTCTGCTATATTTATGCAGGCAGATTAGAGGATGATTATGCAATGTTACTCAAGTCTTCAGTCTTGAATTCTATTCTGGTTTATCAACAGGTCTTGCCTCATTCATTGTGTAATAATCCCTGTCCTGCTGGCTATCAGAAGAAAAAGAAAGAAGGAGAGAAATTTTGCTGCTATGACTGTGATCCATGTTCAGATGGGAAGATGTCAAATACATTGGGTAAATTATTCTGTTTTATTCTACTCTACAGTCCTCTACCCTGTCCTATTCTACCCTACTGTAAAATCTTCCAGTATGAGAATCAGAATTGGAATCAATGAAGCAAACAAATCGACTGTGTATATAAATAAAATTTACTATCAATTTTGCACTTAAACAAAACAATACATCACAGAGTACAGTACAGGGTAAGTATGATAGACAGATAGATAGACAGACAGACAGACAGACAGACAGACAGACAGATAGATAGATACTGCATATATATTTGTGACCATAGGTATAAACCAAGTTTGACCATGTGATTGAAACCCAATTCCTTGTTTTGTGTGTGTGTGTGTGTGTGTGTGTGTGTGAGAGAGAGAGAGAGAGAGAGAGAGAGAGTGAGAGAGAGAGAGAGAGAGTCATTTCTGGGTCTAGTAGGTGGTGCTCATCTCCATTACAAAGCCAAAGAGCCAGCACTGTCTGAAGAAGTCTCTGTGGTTATATGGCCAACATGACTAAATACCGAAGGCACATGGAACACTGTTAACTTCCACCAAAGTGGTCCCTATTTTTCTTCTTGCATTTTTACATGCTTTTGAATTGCTAGGTTGGCAAAAGCTGGTACAAGTAATGGGAGCTCACTCTGTTATGTGGTGCTAGGGATTCAAACCGCTGAACTGCCGACCTTTCTGATTGACAAGTTCAGCGTCTTAGCCCCTGAGCCACCATGTCCCTCTGTGAGTGTGTGTGTGTGTAATATATGTGACACTTGTTTAAAATAAGCATGGCATCAATCACAGATTAAAAAATGGGCAAGACTTGAGTCACATTGCTGTGCCCATTTTCTTGTTCTTTTGGAAAATGTGTGAACACTCCCAATCATATGCATCCATGAGTAAGACTTGGACAACCAAAGCTTGAAGGGATGGGAAGCATGTGGAATCCATTCAGTATGTTGGTTCCTAACTGGGATATCACGAACAGAAAAGATTCCCATCTCAATAAACAACCTTTATAGTAGATATCATGTAATGTTCTTATTGAGTGTTTTTTAAACTTAGTTACTTTAAGAAATGTGGAAAGTGACTCCCAAACTGTCCAGTCAGAATTCTGAGAATTGAAGTTCAGACTTTGTAAAGTGGCAAGTATGAAAAACACCAAATTAATCAAACATAAATAATATATTTCACTTGGTGCTACATCTCTCTCTTATTTACAGACACAATTGCCTGTTCTGAATGTCCAGAAGATCAATTTCCAAGTAAGGACAAAGTTCAATGCATCCACAAATCAATAATATTTCTAACTTTTGAAGAACCTTTAGGGATCAGCTTAATTGTGATTACTACTTTATTTTCAATCATTACCATGTTAATACTTGGAATATTTATCAAGTATAAAGACACTCCTGTTGTTAAAGCTAACAACAAGGACCTCACCTACACTCTCCTAATCTCCCTTCTGCTTTGCTTCCTCTGCTCTTTTCTTTTCCTTGGAAAAGCTTCACAACTGATTTGCATCCTCAGACAAACTGTCTTTGGGTTTATCTTCTCAGTGGCCATTTCTTCTGTGTTGGCCAAAACCATCATGGTCATTGCTGCATTCATGGCCACCAAACCAGGTTCCGGCATGAGAAAATGGTTGGGGAAAAAACTGTCCATCTTAATTGTTCTTTTCTGCTCCTTCATTCAAGCAAATATTTGTTTGGCGTGGATGATCACTTCTCCCCCCTTTCCAGAACTTAACATGCAATCCAAGACTGAAGAGATCATAGCAGAATGTAATGAAGGGTCTGTTGTGATGTTTTATCTTGTCTTGGGCTATATGGGGTTTCTGTCTTTAGTCAGCTTTGTGGTGGCTTTCCTAGCTAGGAACCTGCCAGACACATTCAATGAAGCCAAGTTCATCACTTTTAGCATGTTGATGTTTTGCAGTGTTTGGTTGTCTTTTGTTCCAACATATTTGAGCACCAAAGGAAAGTATATGGTAGCTGTGGAGATCTTCTCCATCTTAGCTTCCAGTGCTGGGTTATTGGGGTGTATCTTTTTCCCCAAATGCTACATTATTTTGCTGAGGCCTGAGCTGAACAGCAAAGAACAACTTGTAAAAAGAAAGCATTTCTGACTATTAAATCAAGGTTATATGTATTCCTGCTGTGAAATGGAATTAAAAATCCTGCTCTAAAAATAAAAAACTGAGCTTGCTTATTAGCTTAACTGATTTTACCAATATTGTACATCCTTGGCATGTATAATAAATACTATGTGTCAATTTCTATAAGTGGAATTGAACAATAAAATATTTTACTATTTCATGAGTGACTCTACTTTTAATAATACTTTAAGTTTTGATTATTTACCTGATCTATTTAATGAAGAGAATAATTAGGTCTTCTTTAAAACAGATCTGCTGTTTCCTAACCATTAATAATAATCTAATACTGAATAGTATAGTTTGGATCTTATTATCATCAAGCAGTAATGGGAATAACTCTGTTTTCAACTGCAAAACATTGAGTTAAAAGATGTCAGAATATCTCAGCAATTAGAAATGTATCTGATTTGTTTTTCCCCCAAGACATATTTATTCCCATGTTCTCTTTAATTAATTTTTAACATTCTGAGTTTGAAGAAGAGAGATTGAATTTAAAATCTTAGTTTTACATTTCCCTTCTCTTTGACATCTGGAAGAATAATTTCAGATAACAGATAATCAGAGTTGGAAGGTACCTTGTAGGTCATCTAGTCCAACCCCCCCAAGCGGGAGACCCTACACCATTTCTGACAAATGGCAGTCCAATCTTTTCTTAAAAGTCTCAAGTGATGGCACTCCCACAACTTCCAAAGACAAGTTGTTCCATTGTTTGATTGTTCTCACTGTCAGAAAGTTTCTCCTTATTTCCAGGTTAAATCTCTCCTTGTTCAGTTTCCATCCATTATTCCTTGTCTGGCCTACAGGCACTTTCGAAAATAGCTTGACCCCTTCCTCCCTGTGGCAGCCCCTCAAATATTGGAAGACCGCTATCATGTCTCTTCTGGTCCATCTCTTTACTAGATTAGCCAAGCCCAGTTCCTGCAACCGTTCACTGTATGTTTTATCCTCCATTCCCCTAATCATGCTGGTTGCTCTTCTCTGTACTTTTTCTAGAGTTTCAACATTTTTTATAATGTGGTGAACAAAACTGGATACAGTACTCTTGATGTGGTCTTGCTAAGGCTTTATAGAGTGGTATTAGTAGTTCCCTTGATCTTGATTGTATCTAGTGGTGGGATTCAAACATTTTTACTCCCGGTTCTGTGGGTGTAGCTTATTTGGTGGGTGTGGCTTGGTGGCCATGTGACTGGGTGGGCGTGGCTTGGTAGTCATGTGATTGGGTGGGCATGGGCAACTCGACATCACTCATGTCAAGGGGCGTTTTGCCCAGTCCCTCCCCTCCCAGCCACTCCTTGTTACCCCCAGCCTCAATGTATCTATAGTTTTGTTAAAAATTTCACCTTTTTTCAACTTTATTATCTGCATCCACATACTATAGATGTACTTTTATGGACCACTGGAAGGAGGAAATGGCTCACATGCTTTGCCCAAGAGTGTGATAGGCAGGTCACAAAACAGGGTTTTGAGGGGTTGCCACAAAGAAGGAGGGGGGGACAATGTATTTTCCAAAGCAGCAGAAGGCAAAACAAGAAGCAATGGATCTAAACTGAACAAAGAAGAAGCAACCTAAAACTAAAGAGAAATTTCCAGACAGTGAAAACAATCAATCAGTGGAACTGCTTGTCTCTAGAAGTTCTGGATGCTCCAACCCTGGAGGTTTTGAAGAAGAGACTGGACAGCTATTTCTCTGTCAGGCAACCTTGGCAACTTCGGGGCTCAGCAACAGTTGCCTTCTGGGGTAGGAAAATGTTATAAAAGTTAATAAGTCCCAGGAAGGCTTGGAGGTCAGTTTTGTTTTTAGGTCTTGGGGCATTTTTGATAGCTGCCAATTTCTTTTCTGTAGGGTGGATTCCTTGTTTGTCAAGAAGGTAGCCAAGAAACTCCACCCTTTCTGTGCATAGCTGGCACTTTTCCTTCTTAACCTTGAGGCCAGCATCTTTGAACCTTTGTAGGACTGTTCTGAGGTGTTTCTCTAATTGACTTTTTGTTGGGGCTGCTATTAGTACGTCATCAAAATAGGGCACGACCCCTTTTATGCCTTGTAATAGTCTCTCCATCAGGCTTTGAAAGATGCCCGGGGCTACGCTTACTCCAAACTGGAGCCTGTTGCATTTGAATGCACCACGATGTGTGTCTATAGTTTGGGCTTCTGCAGTTTCGGAATCAACTGGTAGCTGTTGATACGCTTGGGCCAGATCTAATTTTACAAATATTCTGCCACCTCCAAGTGAATGCAGGAGATGCTGAACGACTGGTACCGGATAGGCACTCTGCTGCAGTGCGTGATTGAGGGTGGCCTTGCAGTCACCACAGATTCTCAAGGACCCGTCAGGCTTTATGGGGGTGACAATTGGTGTCTCCCATCGGGTGTGGTCAATGGGCTCTAACACACCTTGTGCAATTAATTTGTCCAGTTGCTCATCAATTTTGGGTTTGAGAGCAAAGGGAACTCGGCATGGCTTTAGGGCGCAATGGGTGCAATGTCGGGGCGAAGAGTAAATGAAATAGGGGACCCTTTGTACTTGCCTAAATTTTCGCTGAACACTTCTCAGAAATCGTGGACGAGGGCTGCCTCCCAGTCATCGTCTTCAGTATGATGGATGCCAGCCATTCGGATTCCTAATGGCGCGAACCACTGGAGGTCCAATAGACTTGGCTGGTCTCTGTCTACAATGGTGAGTGGTAGAATTGCATTGTGTCCTTTGAAAGAGACCTGGGAATGGTGGGTACCTGCGACTGGAATCCGGTTGCCTTGATAATCTTTCAGTATGAGTCTCTGACTGCTGAGGTCTTGGCGTCGGATGTTGGGAATCAGTTGCTTTAGCATTTTCCAGGATACCATGGATAGTGAGGACCCAGAGTCGACTTCCATGATGCAAGGTTTATTTTCGATGGTGACCTTTACACTGATTTTTTTAGCATCTAGCGATGAAGCGTGGCCGATGGTGATGGTTTGGTGAGCCTCTTCTCGTCTGGGCGTGCCATTAAACCTTCGGGGTCTGCTGTACTAGTTCCACTGGTTGTTAGGGCGGTCCCTCTGTGTGGTGGGGTTGCCATCATACCTTTTTGGGCTGCTCCCTCTCCGTCTGGGGCTGGAATTTCTTTTGTTTCTGCCTACTTTCGCAATATGCCCTCGTTTTTCACAAAAACGACACATGGCGTCTAAGAATCTGCATTTGGATCGAGGATGGTTTCCCCCACATCCAGCGCATTGGTAGTTGGTTTTATGACCCCGCTGGTCTCGTTGCTCACGTTCTGACCGGAGTCTGTGGACTTCTTCCTCCTCGCTGTCTGAGGATGACTCGACATCTTCATGATGGGTGGTCGATGAGTACTTGTCTGAAGGTTTCCCAGCATCATTGGTGGGTTGGCAGTTGGTTCCGCTGGTTCAGCGCATTCATGCTGCTGATTTATGAGTGGCTTCAGCTGCGGTGGCGTCTGCTATGGCATCTGCAAGCGAGATGTCTCCCTTGGCCATGATCTTGCTCTGGACAGTTGGATCTCTAAGGCCAAGGACGATTCGGTCTCTCATGGCTTCTTCAAGATTGGCGAAGCCACATAAACTGCCCAGGTTCCTCAGGTCTGCCACAAAATCCCCAGCGCTCTCACCTTCGCGCCGGTCCCGCTGATAGAACTTGTGTCTGCGAATGAGAGTTGGTACTGCTGGGGCGTAATGGTTGCGCAGGATGGGAGCAAAGGTATCCCAATCCATAGTTTTAACTTCAGCTGGTTTCGCTAAGGCTTTAGCCATCTTAAAAACCGCTGGTTCACAATGGGTTAGAAAAACAGCTCGTTTCTTGCTGGGTGTGGCATCTTTGAGGTTGTTGGATTCTAGGGAACATTTGAAATCTGTCCATATATGAGTCCCAGTCCTCGCTAGCTGGATCGAATGGGGCGGGTGGTATAGCACTGCTGGCCATGTTGCCGTCGTTGCGCTCTGTCAGCCACGTGCTCCTTCAGCTAGCTCAGTTCTAGTAGACTTTGTTGCCTCCGCATCCCATCCTCGTCGCCAGTGTTAAATCTGGGAGGATGGTCCAAGAATGGAGGCAAGACTCAGATAACAACAACAGCTCTTCATTAGTGACTTCAGATCTGAGCAAAGCATCACAACCGCAGCAGCCCCTTATATAGGGCTGGCTGCAGCTAGGCAGCCAATGAAAGCTATTTGAGTTTGCTGCTCTTGACAGGGCCAATCGCGGCAGCCCGTTTACTAGCCAATTGCATCAGTCTGCGGTGACCAATCATGATCTGCTATTCGCGGGCCAATCAGAGTTGCAGGCTTTCGAGCCTGCTAGTCCGGAACATGCTCTTCACTACTTTCATTTCTTCTTTTTGGAATCAAGACTGGCTGAACAAGGATCGCCAGCTGCGCTGGAAGCATCCCTTCAGGTAACCTCCTCCTCCTGATCCTCCAGGCCCCGCCACAGCTGCCAGTCACAAGAGAAGGGGGAGGGCGAGGGGGAGACGGGTTGCCCAAAGAGATGCTTCCAGCACGGCTGGCGATCCTTGTTCAACCAGTCTGCATTCCAAAGAGGAGAAATGAAAGTAGCAAAGAGTACCAAGGAAAGCCCAGCTACAGCTTTGAGGGACACATACACACACAGAGAGAGACACAGAGAGAGAGAGAGTGGGGGAGAGAGAGGGGAAGATAGGCACCTGGCCACTTTGCTATCCCTTACCTTCTCAGGCCAGGAGAGGGAGGGGAGGGTGTGGGGCAGAAGGACCAGCTGCTTCAGGCAAGGTGAAGAGGCATTGACCAAGCATGGGAGAGTAGAAGCCTGGGAACAGTGGCTCCCAGGTCAGCCAGCCTGGGGGGCTGCTGCAGGCATATCAGGACAAAGGCGGTGAGAAGTCCTGGGACATCTGCCCACCCACCTGCTGGCTGACTGGGCCAGGCTGGGCTGGAAGAGGCACATCAGCCTGGAGAAGGAAGTAAATGTGATCCGAAAGGGCAGGCAGGCAGGCGGATG